AGGGAGGCAGGGGCTGCAGCTGCAGCTCCTGCTCGTGCTCTTGCCAATAATGCCGCAGGGAGGCAGGGGCTGCAGCTGCAGCTCCTGCTCGAGCTGGCGTGGGAACAGGCCAGAAATAGCCTGTTCCGAAACCCAGTTTTCGTGCCTGAATCTTAGGGCAGGTTGAAACAAATGAAGTCCTAAAAATAGCCCAGGGCCTAAGAATAGCCCTCCGTTTCAGGCTGGAAAAACTCTGGGTCTGAAAGACCCATAAATAGGCTGAAACGGAGTAGGGCCTGCAGGCCCTCGTTTTTCAGTTTTCAGGCTGAAACGACCGGGGCCTGTAGATCCTAAGTTTTAGGCTTTTAGGCTGAATGTCCGGGACGGGTCCTACAGGGCCCGTGTGGCTACGCAGTATGCCACAGCACCAGTACATGGTCCCCGCCAAGTTCACAACAGCCCGATCGAGCCTCTCCTAAAATTTTGGAGGCTCACATGCTGTCGATAAAACAAATTGACGGCCGGTGGCCTTCCGAAAGGGGTCCACGACCGATGGCTGTCGTGTACTACTGGTTGTTGAAGACGCCGGACAGGCGAGCGGCAGGAACACAGTGTCCGGTCCATCGCCTGACGCGTTGCGTATTGGACTTCATGATATATTTTTAACGCAGTGTTACGAACTTACCGGCACTCGGACTTTACCTCGTCTCGACTACAGTATGGTGTTACGTCCAACTGCATGTATGCGTCTTTGAAAATTTTGAATCATCGATTCAAAGTCGTCGGAATTTCCGACGGTTTAACTGATGTTCTTAACATGTTGTTGTTTTTTTTACAGGACAGAGATCGACACACTTCAAGAGTTCCTGCATAGTTACCGCAAGATTAACGCAGAATTACGGGAGCGTGTTGACGAACTATGTAAGATTTATTCCCGCGATGACTCGCACTGCCCTATAACCTTACTCTCTCGCTTCTGCTGTTCAGAAGTTGTATTGTCTCCGCCGTATGTATGCTGTACTACCTTTTTTTTTTTTTTCCAATCCTTCTAAAAATTTGGACCATTTCTCGATTTATGCGTGTGAATTTCTTTGCTCAGGGGCCAGCCATGCTAATCTTGTCCTGCTGGTGGGTGCAGCTCCCGCATGTTCCCTCGTTAGAGGCTTGAGCACGGATTTGGCTGCTACGGGGTTCCCCGTAATACTATAATCGTAGTATAATGACAATAAAAAAGGCCTCAAAGGCTGTCCTGTCCAGATAGGTAATTGAATTGTTTGGGCTTAAAGAATTAGCCTTAAAAAAAAAAAAAAAAAAAAAAAAATCTTGTCCCGAAGGACCTGTACTAACTTTTCTTCTTCTTCTTCTTCTTCTTCTTCTTCTTTTAATCAATTTTCTTGTCACTTTTTTCTTCCTTAGACACCAGCATCATGTTTATGTTCGATCCGCATGTTTGGGCCAAACACAGTCCTCGCTTTGCAGGTCCACACTGACACATGTCCGGCCGGTGGCAAGGTGTACGCGTCCGCGCCCGCGTCCCCCTCCGCACCGTGAATGTCCGCATCTATGTTTGGAACTTGTGTGTCGATGGTGTGCATTTCCCTACGTGATGGTTCTGAAATTGCTGTTAAAAAAACTCTGCAGTCTTTTCATTTTCACCTCATCTTTACCTTTTCGCGACGGCAATTACGGTCATTCATTGCTGGGTCAAATATGGGCGAGCCGCCCCTGCTGGAAACCGAGTCCAGTGTTTCGTAAATTTGCGACGACTGCTACGGGGGTGCATTACCCACAGTTTCTTTTTCTTGTTCTCCTCCAGACTCCCAGTCTTTTTCGCTTGATGATGTACATTGAACTACATTCAACATTGTACTTTCGCTTGAGAGTTTCATTATCTCCTTTGAGGCTTTGACTCAGGACAACCTAATCATAATTCTGAGCTCCTCAGCTACCGTCATCACCCGAATTGAACGCCTGGTCACTGTTGCAGTATCTAGACTGAAGGTGCCCCAAATACAGCTATTATGAATGTACGACGTACGTAGTATTCAGGGGAAGATGGTTGGGTTTGACGTCAAACCTGTGCTGCCCTCAGCAATGTGCTAAGAACCAGGGCAGCACCTGTCTGTGGTGCACCTCTGTGTGTGTGTGTGTGTGTGTGTGTGTGTGTGTGTGTGTGGGGGGGGGGG